CTCCCCAGGCGAATCACAATCAGACGTTCATTCCTGGCCACACGCTGCGGCAGAAAAGGGACACGAGGACACAAGATTTTTCATTATGGTAACTCCCTTTCACTTTACATCATACGATATTCAGGAAATGGGCAACACCCGGAGGGCTCACTGGGATGCCTATGTAATGCTATTGTATTGTGTTACACCTGATTTGTGCAGGCAACTGTGCCCACATTTCAGTCAAAAATGTGTTCACTGTTACAGTGGGATAAAAAATCAAATGAAAATTCACATACAAAAATGATAACACTTAAACAGGTGTTCGTTTCTGTAGGTTCAAAATTAGTTCGTTGCGGATCTTCACCGAGTCAGTGAAAATACGAGCCAGATAAGAAACCATTGAGTTGCGACAAATGTTCATGCGGGAGGGCAAGCAGCGAAAATTGGGATTGAGTGGATGACTGAGGTCATTGAGTATCTTATGAGCGAACTTGGAATCTAATGTGGTTCTGGACTTCGACGCCGAAGGTAGTTTCAGTTTCAATTTATACTATCGGTAACCTTATAATTGTCGAGCTTTGGTTGCTGTCCTTCGACTACCTATTTGATTAACTGACGCAGAATGACACGGAAGTAAAAAGCTGATTGCAATAGCAAGATAGTTGCACAATGTAGATAAACCATCGTGAGGACACGGGGCTATGTGACCGTTTGAAACACAACTGAGCAGCCTACTGAGTTCCCCGGCTCTGGATTTTACACCTTCAAACTGGTTCATGTGATCCGCCCACCCTTAACCTTCCAGAAGCCTAGCACGACGAACATCACCGATCACACGTTTCCAAACCTACACGCCACGGTGGGAGGGGCGTAACCAGTACAACAGCAGAACACCGCAGTCGCTACTGGTAACACTGAATGGTGACAACGGAGATCACGATGCAATGGATATATCTAACTGAGAACTAGCTATTTGGGTGAGTTCAATTCATTTATTCACCAGACTAGTGGACTGCAAGGCATCATCATAGAGCCAGGACAGACTGAAAGGAGTTACCAATAGTCCTGGAGCATCGGGACAACAGACATCATCACTTTATAGCGAGATACCGTGAAGTGAACTTCGCTAATCGCTACCAAGCTCACAATGTACATGTGGTGGTAGTGTATAGGCTGGACAGGGAGTGGGCCTAATTGGATGGAGGTAAAGAAAGTGGATCTATATGATCAACACAGAGTACATAACCTAGCTGTGCATACATACATTTTCAAGCATTCTGACCTGACGAGAAGTGAGAACAAGAACGCGACTGTTGTCAATTAGTTTCCATCTCCCTTAGGATCTCCAACCAACCAATTAAACCTCAACTCTAAAGATGAGAGACATCCAATCTATCTAAAAGGTTTGTGTATTTCTTCAGGCCTCGTTTCCATTTCATCTGTTGAACTCCAGGTGATTTCCACCAACCTGAAACCGCAACCGCAAATAACACGCGGTGCGGTTCATGGGAATCAGCGAACCCATTAAGGCTTCGCGGGCAAGCGCAGAAACTTGGTCATTAAGAAAACAGGATGGACTGTTGGTGTTTGAACACCTCTGTCTACACAGCATTGCACGAATCTGGTGGGGCAGTCGGACGAGCAATGCTGAGGTTAGGCGCAGAGTTTTAGGTAACCGCGGTCTCCCACTGGAGCAAATGGTCGACCTCAATAGATTACGTTGGTTGGGATGTGTTACGCATCTCACCAGATAGGTTCCCACGGCGAGGCAGGTAGTGGGTGGAACAAAGCCAAGGGTGGTCAAGCTAAGAGCTAGCATAAGTGTATGAAAACACTTACCAGGGGACTGGGTCACATAGGTCCCGTAAGGCTCCCTGGCTGGGGACCTCGGGATAATCGTAACGGATGATTAGAGACACTGAGTGATATGGCTAGGTGTCGTAAACAGTGGTGTTCATGAATTTTCTCAATTTCTCTGTATCAATAATTCACTGAACTTTTCAATTTTCTCTCCGATTCTACTTTCAACCTTTCCTGTCTTTCTCCTAATGTTTATCCAAATGGGCAGCCGAAAGCTAGAAACCAAAACCCGCGCACGATAGTGCATGGTCAATGGTTGTGCAAACTGAAAACTGGTTGCCCATTTGGATAAAACAGCAGAGTGATCATTAGAATGTTGAGAGCAGATTTAAGCGGAAGGTAGCACATTTTCATAGACTGAAGTTACAAGAATAATGAATAGATGCATGAGCGCCACTGTTTGCGATACCCAGCCATATCGCTCAGTGTCTCTAACCACGGGTGATCATGATCTCTGGGTCCTCAGCCAGGGAGCCTAACGGGACCCTATGTGAGCTTCGTTCACAGTAATATGGTTCCTCAGGACAGTCTAAATTTAAATCACACTTCGGTTTTAGTTCAACCTTCAACTTATATTAGATAAACGTGAAATAACTATACACACGCGCACACACACAATGTCTGCATACATGAGATATGAGAATCTATGCAATGAAAAAAATACTTACCTTTATACATATCCAGCACAGAATAGGGAACAGCATAACAAGCAAGAGAGCTGACAGTCCCAACAGTACGAATGAGACAAACCATCCAGAAATGGCTTTTGGTTTCTCATCTGGCTCTTCGGTCCAGTTGGTAAGAAGGGGGTCTACAAAAACACGGTTTGTGTGGAAAGAGATGACTTTACAAAAACATATTTCAAAAAATGCATTTAAGCCAAAGAAACAACAAAGTATATATATATATATATATATATATAAAATCATTCATTGTACAGCG